TTTTGTCAGCCTGCGGGGGATGCTCGAGCGTTTTTCTCCTAGTCTCTACGCAGTATGTTATGCAACTCTCCAGTAATGCATCAGAGCGCCTGTGCACACCACAGAGATGGTCCCCAGAGAGAGCCGATCGCTGGGAGACGCCCCGAACCTCAGCCTAAGCTTACCCAAGAGGTGCACGTTTATCACCTGGCCGCGTTGCCCGGGCTAGGCCGAACTTCAAGGCCGAATGCCATGCCGAGGCCCTTCGACCACTGCTCTCGTTGAAGGCGACTGGGCGGTCTGCGCTGGAAGGGCCCTGAGAACATCTGCCAAGAAGGGGGACAAGAGCAAATCCAGTCAAAACTGGTTCCAGAAATCGGAGCCGGCTAATTTTTTCTAACAGATCCCACCCGTGGCGATTCTTGCACGCGCGGAGCGGAAAGCAGACAACATAAACATAAACTTTTGGAGTTCCGCGCAGATTTCTGGGATCGGCACCAGATCCCCCTACCTGGCGCGTGGATCGCGCCAGGGACGGCCCTGGAAGCACCGCCAAGGGGTCCAAAGCCGACCCGAGACGACCGCACGGAGCTCGGGCCGTTTCTGTCTATGCCGCCCTGGTCTTCCGCCAGGTGCCCTCCTCCTCCTCCTCCTCCTCCTCCTCCTCCTCCTCCTCCTCCTCCTCCTCCTCCTCCTCCTCCTCCTCCTCTCCTCCTCCTCCTCCTCCTCCTCCTCCTCCTCCTCCTCCTCCTCCTCCTCGCCTGGGCCGCGGCGCTCTCACAGCCTCGCCGGGCTGGAAGCGGGGCATGGTCGTTCGCTGCCACATCTCATGGGCTGCAAACATGGCACAAGGCTTTCCATCTCGCGCCGCGCCTTTGAGACGGCCTGCCCAAATGTGATGAACTGTGGCGTGAGTTTGCGCTTTGAGGTGCTGCGTCCGGCCCCGGGGACCCCCTGGAACGCGCCCGCAGGCAGAGAGGAAAACGCCGCGACACGCATGTTCGCAAACGTGTTAGGAGCCTTTCCGGTTCTCAGCGCAGACGGCCTGCAGCGACAAAAGCTGCAAAGTAACGTCAAATTAGATGTGCATCTGCTGGATTTGAAATGCCGTGTCGGCCCCATGTGCCCCCCTGGAATCACCCTGCACGCAGATAGCGACGCGCCGTGAAAACCGTTCGCAAACGCGTTCGGAAACTTGACGATTCGCGGCGAAGACGGCCTGCAGCCAGACAAATACCCAAATACGATACAATGTTACACGTATTTTCTCTTTGGGGTACTATGTCGGGCCCGGGGGATCCCCCGGCACGTCCCTGCACGTAAACAGCGAAACGCTGTGAAAACCATTCGCAAGCGCGTTAGGCATCTTAACGATTCGCAACCTGCAGCCAGACAGATACCGAAATATCATGAGATGGTGTACGCATTTGACCCCTGGGAGCACAGCGACACGCCGGTCGAAAAGCATGTGTCCGAACACTCGAACATGCGCTACGAAATCCCAGCCAGGACAGAAATCAAACATCTCGCTTCCAAGGCCCTACTAAATATCACACCGGAAGCCGGGTAGCCCCAGAAACTCAACAAACAACAGATCGCGCGAGTCACTCCTTATTCACGACATCTGATAGGACAAATCCCACAACCGAGCAAAACAAATGCGTCAGCGCACCTTTACTCATTGGGACTCATGCGAAGCAAACCCCCCAAAAAACTCCCTAGGATGGGTGACCACCCCAGGCCCGGGCGCAAAGGTTCCCCCCGGCGCAGGATTCGGCCGCCGATGGGCTACCACCAGCGGCCAGCGGCCGCAAACAAGATTTCCCCATTACAGTCGGGGCGTTGACCTGAGGAACCCTAAATAAGGAACGAGACCCCTCTTTTCCATAAGTTAAACTTCGATTTCCTATCGAAGACATAAGGAAAACCTGAGGCAAGCTGTGAAACACTTAAGGAACGCGGAGCCCCTTCCCAACCAAAAGGGTTCATTCTTCAGGACCCCGACTGTACCCTCGATTCGGCCGAGGATGGGGTATCACCCCCAGCCCAGACGCGAGGGTTTCCCCCCGCGCCCGGTTTGGCCGCTCACGTGGTAGCGCAGCTCACCACAGCGCACCGGAGACACTTTGCAGTCAGAAAAAGTAAAAGTGCAATGAATGTTAACATGTGTTCGCAATTTGAAACAGCTATCCAAAAAACATACCCCTGGGAGCTCTGAGTCATTCCGCAAGGAACCCGACACATAAACACTTGCGAATACCTTTGAAATCGCAGGAATCCGGACCTGGCCACGGACAATTTGTCCCGCCCGTGCAGGCATCCTCGGAACCAGAGGCGACGTTCCCGGTCCAAAATATCTGAATCACACATTCGACAAATATACGCCAACACGTTGGGGATTTCCTGGGCCAGCGCGCCTCTGCGAACTTTCCATCAAGCTGATACGCAGAGCCTCAGAGGAAAAGGAACTACCCCAACACAAGAAAACCAGCACTGCGCGAATGTTCCCTCCACCCCTGGGGCTTACGCAAAGAAAAAAAAAAAAAAAAAAAAAAAAAAAACGGCCGAGGACGGGTGACCACCCCCCCGGGGCCCGGGCGCAAAAAGGCTTCCCCCCGTCGCGCCCGCTGCGGCCGCCGATGGGCCGTCACCAGCGGCCCGGAAGCCAGGGTTCCCCCCTCCTCCTCCTCCTCCTCCTCCTCCTCCTCCTCCTCCTCCTCCTCCTCCTCCTCCTCCTCCTCCTCCTCCTCCTCCTCCTCCTCCTCCTCCTCCTCAAGGGTTTCTCCACGCGCCCGATTCGCCCGCCGATGGGTCACCACCAACGGCCTGGAGCAAGGCTTTCCCCGGCCCCCCATGCGGCCCGCCCACGGCCCGAAGGCAAGGGTCTCCTCGGCCGTGCGCCCGATTCGGCCGACGAGGGGCTACCACAGCTGCCCCGCACACAACCGCCAGCCCGCAGACAAGGGTGTTTTCTCCTTGCCCCCGATTCGGCCGTCGATCGGTTACAACCGGCAGCCCAGACACAAGAAATCCCCCCGTGCGCCCGATTCGGCCTCGAGTAGGTTACCACCCGAGGCCCGTACACAAGGGTTTCCCCCTGCGCGCCCTCGAAGCTATGGAAGCGAGATGCGGCACATGCTCCGACCTGCTGCGCGGTCGTCGGAGCGTCGCAATGCGGATCACTACGAGGGCACGGCGGTGATCAGAACGCGCGCGGCCCTAAAGAGGGCGGTCAGAACGCGCCCCCTCTCCAGGAAATGATCAAAACATGCACCAGTGATTGAGGAGATAATCGGAACGCGCCCCTCCAGGAGGGGGTCGGAACATGCATATCCAAGGGGGCGCCCCAATAGTCAAGGTGGCTCAGATACCGTGGAACTTCGCTAGCTTTCCGCCGAGAAACGCAGGTCTGGCTTCCAGGATACATCTCTCTCTATGTGTATATATACTCATAAAGGACTGCATTGGCGCTTCGCGCCATGCTCAAGCCTTGCATCTGTTGGCAATTGGCGCCGTCCCCTTTGACCTTTGAGCTGTTGCCGTTTCCCGTCCAGTTTCCTCACCCGCTACTATTTGCTCTTGCCCTCGTTTGACAGATCCGTGCGCCACCCGAACTTTTCTCGGGGTGCATTTTGCTTCGAATTTCGAGGCGGACCCTATCACGTGGCGCGAGAACGCCACCTGGAGGCTCCGAAAAATCGTCGAACCAAAATCGCGTGCCTTCTTCGCACGATCCTGCGCCGGCTGGTGTCGTAACGGCCTGCGCGTCGTTTTTCGACACCGCTTGGATCGTTCAGCCGTGAACGATCGCGCATTCCCGTTGTTCAACGCCTGCCGAGTCCTGACCACTGGCCGTGTTCATTCCGAACGCCCGCGCCCGGGTCGCCGCCGCGTCGACACAAGGCACACCGCCCGCTGTGGTGGAAACATTGTTTCTGGGGGTCGTTTTTTTTACTCCAGGATCTGCCGCAGGTTTGCGGAGGCTCCTCGTTGGAGAACCTCTTGGGGTCTCACGAAAGCCTCTCAAGGGATTTGGGGACCTCTGGTGGCCTCCTGGACCCTCTTTGGGCCGTCTTGGGGGTCCTTTTGAAGCCCGTGTGGGCCGTCTTGGGTCCCTCTTGGGCCGTCCTGGGGCCTTCTTGGGGAACTTGGGCCCTCTTGGGGACCTCCCATGGCCCTCGTGGGTCTCTCTTGGGAGCCTTTGGGTTCTTGTGGGTCGTCTTGGGGTAATTCTGGGGCCCTTTTGGCCCAGCTCGAAGCCCTCTCGGGGGCCTCTTGGGCCACCTTGGGGCGATCTCGCAGGCTTCTTGGGCCGTCTTGGACGCTGCAACGGTACAAACAGCGAAGATGCTAAACATGTACGTTTTTTCTTCGGGTATGGAAAAATGTTTGCCTCTTGGGGGCTCTCCTGAAGGCCTGCTGGGGCGTCTTTGGGGCCCCTTGGGCCATCTTTGGGGCCTCTTGGGCCGTCTTGAAGCCGTTTTGCGTTACCGAGAGGCTCTCCTGGGGAACTTGGGCCCTCTTGGGTCTCTCTTGGGAGCCTTTGGGGGCCTCGTGAGCTTCTTTTGGGCCGTCTTGGGGCAATATTGGGGCCTTCTTGGCCCCGCTCGAAGCCCTCTCGGGGGCCCCTTGGGCCGCCTTGGGGTGATCTCGCAGGCTTCGTGGGTCGTCTTGGACGCTGCTCCAGTACGATACAAAAACCGAATATGCTATAAACGTATTTGTTCTTAAAGCATGGACTCCTGAAGGCCTGCTGGGGCGTCTTTGTGGCCTCTTGGGCCGTCTTGGGGGCCTCTTGGCCCGTCTGGAGGCCGTCTTGCCCTGCGTTGGGGCTCTCCTTGAAAACTGGGGCCCTCTTGGGGACCTTCCATGGCTCTCGTGGGTCTCTTTTGGGAGCCTTTTGGGAGCCTCGTGAGCTTCTTTTAGGCAACCTTTGGGCTGTCTTGGAGTCCTCGTGACCCAGCTTGAAGCCCTCTTGGGGGCCTCTTGGGCCGCCATGGGGCGATCTCACAGGCTTCTTTTTGTCTTCTTTTTTTTCTCACAGGAACCTTCGAATGTCACGAGGGGAAAAATATTTCAACTGCATGAGTATAGCAGCCTCCAGTGATGCCCACTTGAAAAACACTGCGCGCAGAACGCAGTTTGTGATTACTGTCTATCCAGTGCGCCACATGCTGTGAGCGACGACAGCTCCTGCTGGTGCCCACGGGGGCAGCACGCGCTGCCGGACCAGGCGGTCAGGGACGCCGCTGCGTGGTCGAAGGCCAGGCGGCGCTCTTGTGTACCACAGAAAGCTCGGCTACACAAACTGTTCCCCAACCGTCCTCGTCCGTTTGAAGAAACAGCGCCCCGCGTTCTCCGTCCATCCCCCCCACCATCATCAACGCCAACAACCCCAGATGATAAGGGTTCCCATCCCCCGACGTCTCGTCGGCCCCAGGGCTCGGCAGCGCAAGAACAGGCGCACGGGGGGTCGCTGCTGGTAGTTGCACAGCACGAGAGTGGGAGGGAGGAAGCACGAACGCGGAGGGCGGAAAAAGGAGGAACGAGGGAAGAGACCGGTGCAAAAATGTGCACCACCATTGCCAACGACTAATTGGCAAGACTCTTGTTGAGAAATCCCTATGCGTAGAAAAGACTTGCAACAGCATGAATAGCTCGGCTGCACAAACTGTGGATCTCCTCATTGATATTACCTTTGGAGCAACTCATTCCTCAAACACGGTCGGCCTCTCATCTTGCTCATGTCTCCGGCCAAAGCTGAAGATGCGAGGGCATCTGCCGTTGCGCTGCTCGCACATACCATAATACAGAAACCTTGAGAACGAGCTCTCCGTGTTACCGACAAAGAAATTACAAGCGCTCATGAGGCGGATGGACAACAACCATGACAACATGTCCCCAGAAGTGGCCGCCGAGTATCCAAAGTCGCTGCTTCCAATGGAGTCTGTATCTTTGTAAAGTCTGACAAGCTGTTGAGCGGTGTGCTCGGGGGCTTGGTGTGGATGATGGCCCGTCGAGAACCCTTCGCCACCGCGATGATGTCAGCGTCGTCGGTCATCAGAAATATTAGCGGAAGTTTCTTGCTCCGAGAAGCGTCTGTCAGCTGAGGCTTGTCCTCCATCATCTTAAGCGCCACGTCTAAATAGTCGTCGAAGATCTTGTTGAAACCTCCAGCGATGGTATCGTGCTCTTGTATCCAAAACGGTGTGAGCTTGTCCCCGTGGCGGACATGGATCGCCGCGCAAGCGGGGCCTGTTCCCGACGCAGGCCACGCTTGGTTCTTGGAGCGCCACTCTGCTTCACGGCGGGCGATCTCGTTTCGTGTCCTCGCGTTCTGACGGAAGAAGAGCATCTGCCACATAACATGAATGTCGCCGACACCAAGGCCGTCAAATGGCTTGGACAACCGGTGACGGAACGGCACAGCCATATCAACGCTACCATTCACCAAGTTCTTCCCCCAGTGTGCAGTGTCCATCGTGCAGCTGGACGTCGGCAAGAAAAAGCATTCCTGCCTCGTCATGGGGGAGACTGTGCTGTTTGTCATGGGGGATACGTCCACCTCCCCACAGAACGGACTGAAGTACTCCGCGGGATGACTTGTCCAGACGTGGATCAGACCACACAGGCAGAAAAGCAGTTCGTTTCCGGGAATCTCGAACCTCGCTGACCCACTGCTCAAAACCGAAATAGAACTCTTCTTCCGTGGCCTGCCCGACCCAGCCGCTGGAAGTAATGACGGTGGCGCGGCACCTGTCAGGATCTTTCGCATCGGCAGGGAACTGCAACGAGTCCAGCGAGAGAAAATGGCGGAAGGCCTTGTCCGGCACGCGCAGAAGGACACGCTTCGACTTCCGCCAATTCCCACTACAATGGCTGAGCCTCCAGTCCACGCGCGGGATCCGAAATTCGTCGATCGCTTCGCTTATATCTTCTTGAGCGGCCCTGTTTTCCCTCCGTGCGCGTCGCGCTGCCTGCGGTGGCAGCGCGCAGCTGTCCAGCGCAGTCGGGCTCGCCGCCGTGGGGCGAGTCTCCCAACCTCAGCGCCGCACAGACGCAAGACAAACATGAGGCTGGAGGAGGAGGAGGAGGAGGAGGAGGAGGAGGAGGAGGAGGAGGAGGAGGAGGCGGAGGGGGAGGAGGAGGGCGAGGAGGAGGAGGAAATGACAAAAGCAGAGCGCAAGACAAACATGAGGCTGGATGTCCGATGGCCACCATCGGGCGGTGCTCCGCACGGATAAAACACGTATGAGGCGTGTGGTGCGATTCGGGGTGCGGACCCCGCAACGCCTTGGGCCGGGATGGCTTGGGCACAATGGCTTGAGCCAGAATGGCTACGGAGGCGATCTCACAGGCTTCTTGGGCCGTCTTGGGCGCTGTGACGATACAAAAGCGAAGATGCTGCGAACGCACGCTTTCCTTGGGGAATGGAGGCCCTCCGGGACAGTCTTCGGAGCCCCTTGGAGCCCTCTTGGGTTCCTCTGGCCCCTCTTTCGGGCCCTCCGAGGCCGTCTCGGATCACTCCGAAGCCCTCTTCGAGGCATGCTCAGGCGAAAAACTGAGGAAGCCAAAAACCCTCAATAGCCTCAAGGATCTTGATGATGTTGGCCGATTCCGCCTCCTCCCTGCGCCTCTTGCAGCTCTCTTGCGGCATCCTGCGCCGCTCTTGGGGCCTCTCTGGCCACGCTGAAATATCTTCAAGGTCTCCCGGCCGTCCTCGCAGACCTGCATTCGGCCATGTGGCCGCCCATTTGGCGCCCTCCTGGGCCGTCTGGGGCGCGCCCCGGAGGGGCCCCGGAGGGCCTGCCGAGGCCCCAAAAACTCGCGGGCCTCCTCCTTTTTTCACCTCTCCAATATCGCGTTCCAGTCTCCTCCGCCATCTTCGACACCTTCGGGTGCCCTGCTGGGCCGTTTTCAGAACCTCTCGGGGCCCTCTGGTGGCCTTCGTCGGCCCTCTTCCGCGTCTTCGTGGACCCCCCCAAAACACAAACTCCGCGTCGAGGTGGAACATGAGCTATCTTAGACTCCCCCTCTCGCCCTGTGGTACACCAGTTTAGTGACGTCTTCCGAGACCCTCTGGGGCCGTATTCGACCCCCGCCCCTCCCCCACTCTGGCCTGTTTTTCATGGCCCTCCTTCTCCCCCACCACGTTTCCTGAACTTCCCACGCTCCCAAAAAGCGCCTGCCGGCGGTTTGCGGCAGCAGCACCTCTACCCGAGAGCAGCCCTGATGGATACAGTCAACTCTTTGGAGCCTGCGCGCCCTTTTGGCCCCTTGAGCCGTGCCTGCACTCACCAAAGGCGCCTTGACTGCAACCGTACATACGACTCTCCCACATGAGCTTCCCAGCTGAATCAATGAGCTGGACGTCCACATTACTGAACCACATCGTACGACCACGCCCAAGGGGGGGATTGTAGCAATTTCGGTTTCAGACATTCGCAACCTTAACACGATCCCACGCACACATCCTGAACACTAAACCTTAGCAAGAATCCTCAACATTGCTTCGTTGCCCTGGGATCCAAGCCCGCCGTCCAAGCCTTCCTGGACCCTCAGGGGTCGCCGTGGACACCCCCGCAGAAAAACTCTGGGTTCCAAAATTAGCCTGGCGAAGGACCCAACCATATGCATTTGTGAGTACCGTCTTTGTGAGAGCAACGCATTCGGTGAAGCTCCCTATGGGGCAACGAAACGCTGTCTTGGGCGGGGGAGACGCATGCAAACACCCCCAGTGGGGCCTTCAGTGGAGCTCCCTATGGGGCCACGAAGCGCTGTCCTGCGCGGGGGAGACGCATGCGAACACCCCGATTGAAGCCTGCGGTGGGGCTCCTTATGGGGCCACGAAGCGCTGTCCTGGGTGGGGGGGACGCATGCAAACACCCCCCATGGGCTACGAAACGCTGTCCTGGGCGGGGGAGACGCATGCGAACACCCCCACTGGGACCTTCGGTGGAGCTCCCTATGGGGCCACGAAGCGCTGTCCTGCGTGGGGAAGACGCATGCGAACACTCCCACTGGGGCCTTCGGTGGAGCTCCCTATGGGGCCACGACGCGCTATCCTGCGTGGGGGAGACGCATGCGAACACCCCGATTGGGGCCTTCGGTGGGGTTCCCTATGGGGCTACGAAGCGCTGTCCTGGGCGGGGGGGGCGCATGCGAACACTCCCACTGGGGCCTTCGGTGGGGCTCCTTATGGGGCCACGGAGCGCTGTCCTGCGCGGGGGAGACGCATGCGAACACCCCCACTGGGGCCTTCGGTGGGGCTCCCTATGGGGCCACGAAGCGCTGCCCTGGGTGGGGGAACCGCATGCGAACACCCCGATTGAGGCCTTCGGTGGAGCTCCCTATGGGGCTACGAAGCGCTGTCCTGGGTGGGGGGACGCATGCGAACACTTCCACTGGGGCCTTCGGTGGAGCTCCCCATGGGCCACGAAACGCTGTCCTGCGTGGGGGGGACGCATGCGAACACCCCCACTGGGACCTTCGGTGGCGCTCCCTATGGGGCCACGAAACGCTGTCCTGCGTGGGGGAGACGCATGCGAACACCCCGATTGAGGCCTTCAGTGGGGCTCCCTGTGGGGTTAGGCCTTCGGTGGAGTTCCCTAGAGGGCCACGAAACGCTGCCCTGGGTGGGGGCACCGCATGCGAACACCCCGATTGAGGCCTTCGGTGGAGCTCCCTGTGGAGCCACGAAGCGCTGCCTTGGGTGGTGGAACCGCATGCGAACACCCCCACTGGGGCCTCCGGTGGAGCTCCATATGGGGCCACGAAGCGTTGTCATGCGTGGGGGAGACGCATGCGAACACCCCTACTGGGGCCTTCGGTGGAGCTCCCTAGAGGGCCACGAAACGCTGCCCTGGGTCGGGGCACCGCATGCGAACACCCCGATTGAGGCCTTCGGTGGAGCTCCCTATGGGGCCACGAAACGCTGCCTTGGGTGGTGGAACCGCATGCGAACACCCCCACCGGGGCCTTCGGTGGAGCTCCCTATGGGGCCACGAAACGTTGTCCTGCGTGAGGAAACGCATGCGAACACCCCCACTGGGGCCTTCGGTGGAGCTCCCTATTGGGCTACGAAGCGTGTGAGAGGTGTGCCGAGAGCAGAGGCAAGGAGGGGGAAGAGGGAGGAGGGAGGAGGGGGAAGAGGAAGGAAGGAAGGAGGAGAGACGCGGGGCACCGCCTCTTCAAAACGAGGACCCAACACCACAGGATGGTTTGGAACAATTCGGGCGGCGGTGTCTGCTCCTCAGGGGCGTTCAATTAAAAACTTGCTGCCCCCGAGCGCCAGGATGGAAGTCCTCCTCGATAAGACTCCACCACGATGTGAAATGCGCAATCGCCTTGGGGCCCGGGTTTGCAAACGGACGAACGCCATGTTGAAGCAGGTGGCAGCCGTAGTAGCGCTGTTGCCCTTGACTGGTGCCATGGGCGGTGAGATAAGTACGTGAACGTCCAGTGCTCCACTCGACCGGTGCGACGCGATCGCAAGGACAGCCAGCACTGTTGCACACATCAAGAGGCACGGCACTTGCCCAGGGGGAAGCCTCACAGTGATGCCCGATGCGAACCTGCGGCCAGTGCCTGTGGGGTGCGATGGTTCCGGGAACGTCGTGGCGCTCCCGTGGGCCAGTCGCTCCGCATCGCGTTATAGCCTGCAACGGTTGGTGCCCTGCGCAAATGGACTCTCGCATGTTTCGCACGGTCCGGCGTTTGCCTCATGGTAGCCTGTGAGCGTCCAGGCGAATTGCCATTCGGCTTGCAGAGCAGCCATAAGCACAAGCTGTTCGGGGAACGGAGGGTGGACCCAATGACGAGATTGGGGAAAGTGCGGGTGCGTGTCCACATCGCACTAAGCGCGTATCCGTGGATCGCGAGCTGGGACTGCTCCCTGCTCCACTACCAACTAGACTTGCGGGTGGCAGCGGTGAAATATAGAAGACACTGCGGCAGTGGTAGCAGAGCGGCGGTCGTTTTCCCTTTCAATGCTGCATAGGTCCGCGTGCACGCTGTGAGCCAGAATTGCGACGGGCGCGCACGCGTGCTTCTGTTCGAGTCACGAGAAGGAGGAGGAGAAATTATTCACTGCGTGGAGCTCCCCATATGTGCATCTATTCGCATGGACCTGTCCGCCGTGAATGTCTAGGCGCAAGAGCTTTCGAATATAAACGGGTTTCAGTTGTGACGGTCTGGTCATGAATCTAACTGCGAATGAATTGGAGTGTGAATGAGCCTCAGTAGTACGAGCGCGCTTCTGCGCATGAGCCTGGGTCCTCCTGGGGCCTCCTGAAACCTACTGGGGCTTCCTGGGGCCTCCAGGAGCCTCTTGGGGCCTCCTGGGACCTCCTAGGGAGGATTCGTGCCCCAGGAAAGGCCCACTATATAGCAACATACGTACATAAAACATTGCGGATTGGAGCCACAGGAGAAGGGGGTAATCTATATGAACGCGCGTAAAACACCAAGGACTCGTGCCCCAGGAGAGGCCCAAAATATAGGAGCATAAATACACAGGAGAAGGACAATCTATATATGTATATATATATATATATACATATATATATATATATATATAACATACATACGTATAGCATCAAGGATTCGTGCTCCAGGTGAGGCCCAATCTATAGGAGCACACGTAAAACACATGGGATTGGAGCCACTCCTGTTGCCTTCTGAGGCCTCCTGCTCCTGAGGCCTCTCGGGGCCTCCTGTTGCCTTCCGAGGCCTCCTGGCGCTTCCTCTGGCATCCTGGGGCCTCCTGTGGCTTCCTGAGGCCTCCCGAAGCTTCCTGGGGCCTCCTAGAGCCTCTTGGGACATCCTGTGGCCTCTTGAGTCTTTATGTGGCCTCCTGATGCCTCCTGGGACCTCATGTGGTCTCCTGGGGCCTCATGGAGCCTGTTGTAGCCTCCTGTGGCATCCTGCAGAGAATCTGTGCCCACGTTTCTGGCCACCGATCGGGACATCCTCAAAATCTGGCCCACCTGGGGGGTGAACATGAACGCCTCGCTCGAGACATCCTCCAAACCTGCTCCGAAAGCGAAGGAAGTCGGGACAGAAAACAAGCAAACCGCTTGAGACATCCCCACAAAACGGCCGCGAACGGGACCGTTAAAACACCCCTGGCGGCTCCCCTCAGGGGGAGCTGAAACCAGCGCCCCGCCTGAAACATCCTCACAATCTGCTCTGGTAGCCAAGGATGTTGGGGCAGAAAACTGGCAAACCGCTTGAGACATCTCCACAAGCGGCCGCGAACGGGACAGTGAAAATACCCCTGGCGCCCCCTCGTAGGGATGCTGAAACCAGCGTCCCGCCTGAGACATCCTTACAATCTGC